TATGTATCTGATTAACGACTAGCCTTAATGGAAAGTTATGATTGAGAGGGGTAATTAACTATAGGGGCTTGCGCCTATAGGAAACCAGAACTCAGATCATAAAGTCCTCACAAAATGAGGGCGAAATCTCTGGGTAGTGTCTTATTTACAAACCCATCTGCCTTCCAAAATTTACCTCGGAACTTATTCAGTTAAAACTTCCTCGCCGAATAAAAAGAAAAGCGGGCGGAGGCCGGGGCCGAATTTTCGGAGCCTACAGATCGAGGTCAGGTCGATACGAAAAGCATGTCAACAAGTCTTTAGCAAACCTTAGCCTTTAAAATGTAAGGATCTTCTTATTATTTTTGCATATGGTCTGGTGAATGAAACGATTCCTTTATTGAATCAAATCTCTCTTTTTCATGGATTTAGAGCCTTGTTTTCCATGAATTTTGAAGAAAAGTGATGGAGGCATGCATAGCTAATGTGATTCTCATGTTTCCATTTATCAATCAATTTTAAAAGATTTTGCATCCTCTTTGTTCTCTTTTTGCACTACTTTTATTTGTTCTTAATTGGGACCGAGAAATTGGAGATTTTCAACTTATCAACCAATTGTAGAACTAGAACAATACAACTTTAAAAAGAAGCGGCAAACTCATCTCTTATGATTTCATGCTTCTAGTGGTAGGTTATTCACTCGATTATATCTCTTAATCTTATTGGTTTTTCTTTTGCATCAAAGCTAGATTACTTTTTTTAATAATAATTGCTGTTGCATGTATTTTACATCCAAGATCTATAGCTCACAAATGTCAAATAAGTCTTAAAATTTTCATCTCATAGTTAAATTAGAGCAATGTTTTCTGTAAAGTGCAAATCTCAGACATATGTAACACTGAAGCGCTTCTTTTTACATTAAAGCCATCAAATCTTGTAGAGTGCAAAAAGTACCAACTAGCATTTTCAATATTTTGATAAATTCCTAATGATTTGGTAGTATCATACAAATACTTGTTTGTTCATTTTAAATACTTAGGTGGACCTTAATGGCATACCTGTGAATTTTCCTTTAAAGTATAGGGTTCATTAAACCAGCCACAAATGGTTAAGAGAAGGCTGAGATTTGACTAGTGATAATAGTAAAACCAATAATCATAAAAACAATAACAAGAAATTATAGGCCCTAGCATCTCTAAATTAAAAAAAAGTAACGAATTTTCATATCTCATAGCTAAATTTGAAAAAAAAATAAGATAAACCATATTGATAATGATTCTAAATCTTAGGAACATATGCAAAAGGTATATCATAATATGAGAAATCAAAATAGATTCGATTTAATTATTAGTTGAAGAGAATTGTGGACCTTTCCATCAAATTATATCCTCTGAGGACGCCTGAAGACCCACAAAATGTAATTGCTGACCCAACTCCAGAAACTCCAAGCATTTGAGTTGTTATTGTAAGCCCATTGAACCGCTCATGCATTTTTGTTGTTGCAACATAAATTTGAGGAAAAGGAGCTAACGACTTACATTGCAAGTACAACCAATTCAACGATTTGACACTAGGAGGTACAACAATCTGCGGCATGGAAGAATAAAAACATTTTAAACCCTACATTAAAGCTGGCCAAGACAAAGGCACAAAAACTTGTCCAATATAGTGGATAATACTATGAAACAAACTAAAGCATGACGGAACAGACAGAATAAGTGACAATAGAAGTTAAAAATTGCAGTTGGAGAGCAGTCCACTTTGATTCTTGAGCTTTTTTGCAAGCATTTCAGCAGGTGTCAACAGAATTGGAAATCCATGTTCTACATGTTCATGTAAATATAAATAAAAGGATACAAAAAATATAAGGTTTTTCGCAACCATTCACCATTTTAAACAGCAGTTGTAAAGGTTAAATTCAAAGTTATTCAACAACATCCAAAACATGTAATTTGATATACAAAGTATCAAATAAGAGAAAGCAACAAACGAGACACAGTTGTGAACGCATGCAAAAAGTTAAAACTAACTCACTTAAAAAAAATGGTTCAAAAAATAACATTCCATTTCCCTCTTCATTGACTCAAATTTAGCTCACAAAGATACCATAATTTCAAAAAAAAAAAAAAAATTCATGTGGATACACAATCACACTTATGAAACTCTTATTGTTAATTACCCTATATAGCTTCTTCAAAAGTTAGTAAAAATTCCAAAATAATCATCAAACTAAAACTTGTTTTTCCTTTCATGCATTTAGTGTTGGTAAAATAACATTCAAAGCGAATAATTTGCACACATCATCTAATTTTATAGGAAGTAAGAGGTAGGTATGGTGTTGACTTCAAAGTTTTGCGCCTATTTTGTTGAGTGTTTGGATTATGCATGAAGTTTTTAACACATTTATTAAAGCACATGGAAACAAGTTTGAGTTTGAAAAGGATCTTTCAATTTCAAAATGAATGCAGATTTGACAGAGCAATTGCAAGTCTTTTCAAAGCAGAAGAAATTTGAGTCATTTTTTTTTCTCATCTACGCACCATTTTTAGACATTAATTTGAATGATTAACACTAATTTCGGAACACAGACAGATAATTTTGATTTTAGAGTTCATGCATGTTCTTTGATGCAAGTGCATGACATAGATGATTATTTCTTAGTCCATTTGTATGACTCACTTGCACTTTTTCATAAAGCACTTGCACTTTTTCATAAAGCACTTGCATGATGCATTGGTGCAATTGCACTATTTTCTATGTGCTCAGATAGCTCACTTGCTTGCTTCTTGGTGCACATTCATTGTACACTTGCACATTTTTATGCTTTTTAATTATGTGCTTTACATGTTTTTCAGTGCATTTGCATGATACACTCTCGCGTAATTCAGCTTTTACATGATGCACCTGCACCTGCAAATTTTGCAATGCATTTGCACTATGCGCTTTCACAGTTTTTCAAATGAATTCGCAAAGTATATTCATATTTTTTAATGTGTTAACATGACAGATTTGCATGGTTTACAAACAATGACAAGTCTATCATAGTAAGTACATGCTTCTCGAGATAATTGTATGCTTCTTATGATGGCTGCATAGTTCATGGTGGTTGCACACTTCCCAAAGTGGTTGCATGCTTCACGAGGTAGTTGCACATTATATGAGATGTTACATTTGAATTTAAAAGTTAGGTTATGATGCATGCATGATTGAAAAATATCTAAAATGTGATTATCCATATATTTGTCATTAAAATGGGCACAAAATCTCATTTTGAAATTTTTATTGAGAGTCAAACAAGAGAGCGAAGAATCAAAGGACGTCACGTTGCATGCAAATTATGGGAACATCAAGATTTTTGGGGATTCGAAAAGAATGAGGATTTTGAAATGGATAGGATTTTTATGATAAAAAATCTAGTTATATATAGAGAGATAGGTAACCAACTTTTTATTAAATTAAAAAAAATGTGTTAATAGTCCACGTGAATTTCACGTTTCGTGTTCCTATCAAAATCCTTGTAGCAACCAAACATACGGCAAAAGTTATGTTTAGCTTTTTTGCTAAGGATAGAGCAATATGAGACTCTTCTCTAAGTAACTTTTATGCTCTGAACGCGCTGGTGTAGTTTGTTGCAAACGAGCGATGTTTGAATGATTTTAATCGTGGTTGAAGCATTTCAAACTGATTTGCGCAATGCTACATCCATTGTCCATCATTTTCATTGTGTATGATTGAATTGTGCTGAGATTTTTTAAGGTATTTTCAAAGTCCCAAACATGTCAACAATATCTTTTTTTGTGAAATGAGCAATGATTATGCATTTTTGCATGATGACATGACTGTCTTTATCATGTTCAATCAAATCAATTGCGATAACCCTTGGTAATTTCGATGCTACTAACACATCGCCGCAATATGTTTTAGAAAATGAGTAATAATTGTATGATTTTGATTACAATCAAGGCGTTTTTTATTACTTTGTATGATATGGTGAACATTTTTATCGCGCTTTAAGAGCAACTATAAAGGTCAACAAACAATTGTTAATATATAAGCTATACGTGAAGTAAGCTAAAACATTGGAGTTTTGGCATTCAAATGATTTAGGATGTTTGCATCCAGCATCCTCATTATTAGCATGAACTCCTGAACCCATATTGATAAGAGAGGTCGTATTTTCAAAGAGTAACCACTTCTTGATTACAGCATAAGAAATCAATTTTTGGCTCTTTTTTTTTCTTTTTCTTTTTTCTAATTATAAGGTCTAGCAATCAAATCATAAAGGGGATAGTCAACCCAACTCTTCACCTCAAACAAATCCATGAAGATTGGTTTTCCTGAGTTTGGGCATCAAATCGTCAAGGGATCAAGAAACTGAGTAGCTAATGATTTTGGGCCATCCAATTTCTTGATGGAAACAAACGATGATGTTGATTCTCATGTCACATAGTGGAAATTGAAGAATAAATCACTAGGTGTCCACTGCTAAATACAGATTGTCAGCCAAATGCTTAATGATAAAAATAGGCAATATAAGTTTGAACACAGGATCAAAATATAGCTATTAGGTTGAATGTTGAATTAAATATATTTTGGATAAGTTCATATTTGAATATTAAATTTTAGATTAAGATAAATTATTTTATAATTATCTTTTAATTTATAATTATTTAGTTTGTTATTTATATATAAGTTCCTCTTTTCTAAAATTTGTTTAAGAGATTATTAAATCTTATCATCAATTATAATTGCTTATAAATAGCTTAACTTTTTGAAAAAAAATCAACATGAACTTTTCCCAAAACCCTTCTATTTTCTTCTCTTTTCCTCTCCTTCAATTGAATCCCTTCAACAAATCAAAAGTCCCAGGTGCCTTAACCAAATCTTCCCCTTAATTAGGCAACCCCTAAAATCTCTAGATTTGCTGAAATAGCCTACTATATATTCCTTCAGATGGCTTTAACACAAGGCATTTACACCATTCCAACCACCACTGAATTCCAAAGAAATAGCGGAGCAATTTATTTTGTTGAAAAAGGAATGCAGTGTAAGAAAAATACAATGTAAAGTAATATAGTGTATTGAAAACATTTTTTAGTAATTTGAATGAGTAAACTACATATGCAAAAGATTACATCCTTGTGTTGGATTTGATGCATAACTGATTTAGTGTACAAACCGATGGTGGCAACGGCAGCGGATGGTTTTGGCCAGCAATGGCAGCAACAAACGGCAATTACGGCAGCAAGTGATGATAGCAGTTAGTTGTGGCAGCCAGCAAGCAATGTCAAACAACGACGACCGTGGCCAGCACAAGCTGTGTTTGGAATTCGACCAAATTGAGTAAATTTCAAATACATTAGAAATCAACTAAATAGGGAATTTTAAATACACCAAAATTTTATCCCACATTTGCTTTTTTCAAACCAAACACTGAGAATTTTGATTGTACTACAATTGGTTATATTACCAACTATTACTTGCAACCAAATACCCTCAAGACTATTGCCTCCTTTTGTTGTTTTTTCTTAAAACAACAAAAGGAAAAGGAATTGGTTGTTGTATGCAAGCAAAACACTAAGTGCTTGCTGTCCAAGCTTAGAAGAAGGGGAATACAAAGAGGGTCAAATAAAGCAAGACTACTAAATTAAGTAACCATTATTTATGATTCATAAACAAAATAAAGAAAAAGTGGCTGAAAATGAGTCCTAATCTCATTGATCCGCTACCAAAACAAATGATAATGGAGTTGGATGAAGATTCCATTCACTACCACCACATCGAATACTAGTGATCCTGCCCACACTCTCCCTACTGCTTCCATTTCCCTGCCAACAAATGCCCGCCAAATGAAAATTGGAAATCTGAAGACGAAGATGAGAATGAGTAAGATAATATCACAGTGATAAATAAAGGAATAACTACACCACTTAAAGTGAAAGTCAAAGCTAAAATTTCTACTTATGATGGGACAGTCAATAAAGAGAACTTGACATGTGGAACGACCAATTGGAAGCATACTTCACTTTGAAGAGGTGTAATACTTATGACAAAGTGGTGTTTGCTCAGCTTAAATTAAACCACCATGCTTTAGGTTGGTAGAACATCCACTTAAAGGTAAGTGATCATCAGGAAATAACTTAGGGGGCAATTAAAGCAATTAATATGTTGTGAGTTTTACCTGATAGATTATGTTAAGGATTAGTGGAAGAGATAGGACAGTTTAAAACAATGTGAAAAATAAATTGTGTAGAATTACACCATGGAATTTGACAAATAGAGACCTTGGGAATTAACCTTAGGATGTACAGACACTTATGAAGTGCTCCTTTGGGATTTTTCTCTGAAATCACTACAGAACTCCACCCCTTTCCTTATCTTAGATCTCAACCAAGCTAATAACATGGCAATGAAAACTCAGGCCATGTTACAAAGCATCTATGTTGCACTGATACACCTATTTATGAAGGCGTGTTGTATCCGATACACAGATACACCTCCGATACTCCACCGATACTTGTCGAATATGCCAAAGCCGTATCCAATTAAAATACTTTTTAATTTCAAAAGGACACGCATATCCGATACGCGTGTCCGTTGAAAAACAAAAAGAAACCCTAAAAAAAAAAAAGACGTGTCGTATTTACTTTCGCGGTTGCGAGCAAGATTCTCTCATTTCCGAGATGGATTTGAGTCTCTTGATAATATGAAAATATTAAAAATTATTAATCTTTCACTCGATGAGCCTGAATTAGAAGCTATGATATTTATTGAAGATGATATGGAAGTTCAAAGACAATCCAATGAAGAAGATAATTATATCATTTCTTCTATTGAATAGTTGAAACTTCATGTGCTAGATAATTTATGTTTATGCTTTTGTTGTTGTACTAGACATTTAATGCTTACTTATATTTTGATATTATAAGCTACAATGCTACAAATGATGTTGTTGTCATTTTTTTTTGTAATTTCAAATATTATGTTTTGATTGCTTTCTTAATTTTTATGTATGATTTATAAATTATAATGCCGTGTCCGCGTCGTACCCGTATCCTGTATTTTTAAGAATTGACGTGTCCCGTATCCGTATCGTGTCGCCATATCCGTATCGGTGCAACATAGCAAAGCATGCACCAACAAAAACAAATGCCTTGGGAAAGTTCTATGGCCATTGCCAGATAACTGGTCACACTAAAAAAAATGTTCAAATGTAGATACATGAAAGGAGTTTTCATCTCAAATATATAGGTAAAACAAGAAGTGATTAGCATCATCATCAACACTACGAACCAAGGAATTTAATCTCCATCAAGTTGGTAAAAAGATTTGGCATAGAGACTAGTCTACATTCATATCTTTACCCCTCAAGATAGACTCAAAACAGAACCGAGTTGAAGATTGATTGCTAATATCAATTGAGGGTTGTAATCACTATTAAATACATCAATGAGATGATATGCGAGGTAATTCCACTTAACATCTGTCAAGTAATCTTGAAGAGCTCAAACATGCATGATAAATATGCAATGTTGCATCGTCATACCTACCAGTATGAGATAACTAAGAAAGGGAAAAAGCATTTTGAAAACCAGAAACGAAATTGAACTAAAATGATAAGTTCAAAGTTCAAATTTCAAATGTTGAACCAAGGCTAAACCGAATGATAATAATACACATTAAAATTATTTTAACATGTAATGATATTTTCACTAATCCAATAAATAATATTATAAATCAGGATACTTACCATTGTATATTTTGAATATGATTCTAAATCAAATTATTAGGCATAATATTTTGATTATTTTCTCTATATATAGGCACATATACAAATGTTTGCAAAAATATATGAAATATTACCACTCAATTGGAATTTCCATGTCAACCAAAATTAAAAGAAATTTCATCAACCTCTCTTCATATATTTATAAGACATTCAATTTAAGAATAAGGTATATGGATTTAAATAGTTTTTTTAAATATAACTTTTCTTTCTAGCCATCTGATCAAGATCAAAAGCTATAAAATGATCAATATTATAGTTGGGCGATTCATTAAAAATTAGATCAATTCACTGGTCCCAAGGTTCAACTATCGAACTCAACCAGTTCTATCTAGTTTTGTGCAAACACATATTTAGAATTGGACTAAATCGATCGAAGGACCGATTCACAGTTGGACCAACTGATCCGATTCAATTTTTAAAATTATGGGAAAAGTAGTTGGTGAATAAATGCTAAGGAGTACCAGTAGAAAATTGTCATATAAACGTTGCACAACATTTTTGAAATCTAGTTAATACGCAAGCATATTGTAGAGGAAAAAAATAATATACTATTCTTACATTAAGTAGGTTAGAAATTTATAATTGTAACAACCATTGGATAAGCATTTTGATAGAATATAAAAATTATGACAATAGCGAGCAATAGAATATGATATTCAAATACTTTTAGACTCATCACTGAGAAATTTACAAAAACTCAATCATCGAAGAAGAGATCTAAAGCAAGGAGCACTAGGGCGTCAATACCAGCCGCATCAACCCAACCCTAAAAATTTGGGTTCGAATAGACCCATTAATAAGTGAGTCGGGTTTGAGTCAGGCATTCCAACCCGCTTATTAAACATATTAGGTTTGCATTGATAGGACAACTCAATTTTGACCCAAAAATAACCCGTTTAACATTTTTTCTTAAATTTTTTATAAATCAGTATAATCTTCTTATTTTTTATTGATTAACCTAAAATCTATTATTAATAAGGTAATAAAAAAATTTAAATAAATAGGTCATTGCATCAAATTTATAATATGACTAAAAATATAACTCAATTTAGATGGTAACAAAATATCATCCTATTTTAGTTTTAAAAATTGTGTTTACCTTTCTAGCTTGGTTGCAATGCATATTTTCAGTGGTTTTGTTATGATTGACTCTTATAAATAAAAGACAACACATTTTACCAGTTTAATTGAGCATGTATTCCTATGCTTGAGACATCATGATGATATACATGTTTGCAGCACATACTAGAGTGAAACTATCAGTTGTATTTTCTCATTGATATTTATGATCATTAAAATCTAATCATAAGCTTAGGACTAATGGGGTTAACAAGAACTATATCATGAGCTATCCAGTAAGTTATGTGCATTGATTGCCTAGGAAGTCCAAGCTCAAAGCAACGTATATGTCGCACTACTTCATCAGATTGCATCATTTTGTTGCGCAGTTAGCTTCAGCTGAAAACAAAATCCTAGTTCAAATTTCATGGTTTAGTTTACTTCTGGCTATCTTCCATAATAATTAGGCATCAACATTCACTTTTCATTATTTCTCAGTATTTTAGTTATCATTTATTTGTTGCATGTTTTCTGTCATTGTATCTAGTTAATTCTTGGTAGTTATTATCATTATGCTCTCTCGCAAACTAGTTTTCTTACACACTTCTCATTGGTTCATGTCACTGGTGCTAGTAGCTTCTTGCTCACAACCTCCTTCCCAAGAACAATTTTCAATGCCTCGTCGCACTCTCTCTTAATTCATGCTATCTATGCCTCTCAATCTCTACTTGGTCATTCAATCTCTTGAGCATTCTTAATTTTTAAGTATTATTTCATCACTTCATCATTTATATCTTTGATTTTTTTTAGATAGAGGCAAATTAGTACTATTAAATGTATCTTTACATTTGCCAAAAATTATTACCTAATGTGATTTAAGTTGGGTGAATTAAATGACTAATGTATGTACATAATATATGTATAGATAACAGACAAGCTATGAGCGCTCTGATTAGTAAAATGTTGCTTCACTTTGCCTTCAGCGCATTGAAGTAAGAAAAGAAAAACTGTAGTAGATCTCATTGGGCCTAGTGCTTTGAAAATACTGTAGTTATCACGTATACAGGGATAGAATGCATCAATGAATTTGCATGTAAAGAAGCATAGATGAAACACATTCTTCAAAGGTATCAATTAGAGATCTAGCTATACCTGAAACCTCAGCACACCACTCCTCGAGCAGGGAGGATCTATCTTCAGCTTATTGACCGCCTCTTTCATCGCATTTACGGCCTGCATAAGGGTCAGAGCTGGGTCCAAAGTTCGCGTCAAGCAAAGTTCTACAGGCAAATCAGAACAACCAGTTTCCACGAACTCATCGACTACGATGTTCAGTTCCCGGGCACAAAATTCCTTCTGAGCATAAATCTGCCAGCAACAAGAATAACGTCAAATCAAACTATCAAAGGGGTGGAAAGATAGAGGGAGTGAGAAATAGAATGACGACATGTGAAATGCGAACCTGAGAATTAGGGTTTGAGCGTAAGTAGAAAAGTCCGGGGTGGTTTCGGCAATGGAACGGAAGAGAGAGCCGAAATGGGGAAGAAGGGATGAACAATGAATGACTGCGGATGCGGTGATTTGAGTGGAGGAGAGAGGGTTTTGAGGAATGGAAGAAACCTGAACTCTGCAGCTTCATGACGTTGTAGAAGGATGAAGTGGATAGCGGAGATAAGAAGCGAATAGTGGAGATACGGAGGGGAGAGAAAGAGGCGGGGAAATTGGGGGGGGTGCTTCGACTGTATCGAATCGAACCAAGCTAGATAGATCCGTGGGCCGTAACCCACAAGATAGATAAAAAGCCTATAACAATTGAAGGAGTCCAGTTGGACCCAAATCTCCTTTAGATTTAAGTTTATAAGGTAATTCATCTGATATAGAATCTGAGCCTGAGCCTGCTCAAAAAAAATGTTGAAAAATTTATTAAATGTAGAATTTTTTGGGGGAATTTAAACATAGGTTTAATCTAGATTAAATGAATTGATGATGTAGCAATTAGGGGTGTAAGTGAGTTGAGCTGGCTTGAGCTCGACTCATTAACGAGCTCGCTAATCAAACTTATAAAGAGCCTCAAGTTCTAGCTCGAGCTTATACTTAAGCTCGTATATTAAACAAGCTTGAGCTCAAGTTTAACCCAGCTCATCTCATAAGTTTATTGAGCAGCTTGATTAACTTAAAATATATTTAAAATTAATTTAAATTAGCATTATATAATATATTTAAGATTTTTTAATTTAATTATATATTAAAAATAAAATTCTAAAATTAATTAAATTTTCTAATTTATATCTAAAAAATCGAGCTTAACAATCAAGTCAAGTTTGAGCTTTTCAAACAAGCTCAAGCAATCAAGCCGAGCTCGAGCCAATAATTTTTTTAATGAGTCAAGCTCAAGCTTAGTAAATGAACTTAGGTCGAGCTCAAGCTCACTAAAAATTAAAAAAAAAAACTTAGCTCGATTAGGCAAATACTCGATTTGACTCGTTTACACTCCTAATAGTAATCAACTAAGATTACACTCCTAATAGTAATCAACCAAGATTACACAAAAGTTAAGGGACTATCGAGTGGATCTATGATATTGATAATAGATTTTCAAATCAAGAGCATTGTAGAATTTTGACTAGAAAGGAAACTAAAAAGAGTCTTAATTTTTTTTCTAAGTAACATATACTTTGTGCTACTAAGCAATGCCATAATAGCCAAAGAGTCAAGAAGTGCCAAGAGCTTGAGATCCTAAGAAAGCTTCCAAATGATTCTAAGAGATGATCCAACCTCAAACTTAAGAAGACTGTTGATCGTGTGATAATGATGACAGCCTAATAATGCCTCTCTATGAATGGGGGCATCATAGAAGGATGCCATATTTTATTACTTCCGCATTTAGAGTCATAATGTCTTGTAAAAAATGCATGATATAGCTCGCATGTCATACTCCATTTATTGTAGCCCATGTTGTGAATTTTACTATTCTGTAAGAAGACATGGGGTATGATAGAGTACAACTGCTAATCTATAGGACTCTTTTTTTTTTTTGTTGCATCAAATGAAGTGAACCACTAAGCCTTGGGTGTGAGTCAAAGAGCTAGAGGGATTGAGAGGGGATTTAAGGGAAAGTTTCTTCCTCCTCCTTATATGCTTGTATATTAATGAGATCATATGTGTTTAGTTTTTTCTCTGCATTGAATATATATTACGCTATATCCATTCATGTGATTATCTTGATGTCGCATCTCATGGATCAAGTTTTTGGTATCATAATGTCAAGTTCAAAAAGAGCTCTTGATGCATGGGTTTCAAAAAGAGTGGCTACAAGAATTTGGGAGAATCATTCCTTACTATAGAAGAAATATTAAGAAGATAAATGGGAGTCAAAATGCTAATTAACCAAGTTGAACCTCCTGTGAATTGGCTAAACAAGGTGTGCTCCGACAATAATCAATAGTTATGATGACCGAAATATATGCAAGCATATTATTGTGCAAATTTTAGAATGCAAACAAGAAGTTAGGAAAGATGATTGCGCCTAGAGAATGATGATGCCAATAATATTGTGAGAAACTAGTGAGACCTTTGAAAGGTAAGAAGATGACTCAAAATATGAGAACCTTGATTCTTCTTTCAATACGTTACATAAACTCTTCAAGATAGACATAAAGATTAACATCGTTACATTTCATGCTTCATTCTTGGTAGCCATATTTATTATCATTCACTCATCCTTTTCATCACTCACCTAATTAAAGGACTGAGTGATACCATAACCCATAATTTAAAGGAAAGTTTGTTGGCCCAATCTATTGTACAGGAAATCTTACTACAGCCTACTTGAATTATTTATAACTATCCAACTCTTGCAATGCCATATTTATCTTATATCAATCATATCGTTTTTTTTTTTTTTTTTTTTTTTGCAAATTTAATATCATGTATGAAATACAATTAATCAATAAAATATAGGAAATTCCATACACTATTCATTTACTTCATAAAATAAAAACTACATTTATATCATCCACAAATAAATTTGCATTCAACAAATATTATATATATATATATATATTATTTTGTGTGATTTGTATAAACCCTTCATAAAATATTTGTCATTTTTATTTCCGAAAATATATTTTTAAGTGCCTCTCTAAAAAGCATGGATAAAATTCATTATGATATATTTACATAAAGATATTACTATAATAACAAAAACTGTAAAAATATTTTTAATAAACGAAGCTTATTATGAATCATTGTGAAGCTTATATTGATCATTCCTCTAACTAATCAAAATTTATTAGCATTAATTAAGAAATGGGAAATTAACAACAAAAAGAACCCAAGAAGAAGAGGCGTCTCGAACTCGGCTGTGATCCATTAGTGGAGCAAAATCATAACAAACAGCTAATTAGCATTTAGCATGGCTTTGTCATGGCCTTAATTGTCATCCACATACTTTGATAGCGACATCATTAACTTTAATGACGATGATAAAAACAGTGGCTATGATGATGGAAGCAAGCTAAGTTTTATCCTTAATCATCCTCTGCGATTGGATTAGAGCACTAATTAATTTGTTTTGAGAAGCCTAACCACCTTTTGTTTTGAGCCACAATTGCTAGCTAGTGGATTGAGAACATAATGTAAATTGGTACTCAAAAATCTTTAACATGCGCTTGTGCGACTTTGTGCTGTGCTTTTGTGCCACTATGTTATAAAATTTAATACATATAAGTGGATAAATTGGATGTGTCCATCAAGTATATATATGTTAAAAAAATGATAAAATAAGCACAAAATCAACATTTTAATAATTGAGCTACAATAAATTGGTTGTTTTTTATAATCCGAGGCTTCGTTTGGGACGGCTTTCTGACTGTTTCTTAAAACGATCGATTTTCTAATACATAATTTTTAATTTTTGCACTAGGCTTTAAGGAACATGAAAAAAAATCATCCCAAATGAAGCATGAATATCTTTGTTGGATTAGGAATCATTTGGTGAGCATTAGGCAAGCTGTCACTATGGATTCACTTTCCTCTAGAGCCTGCTCATTCTCTTCTGAGAACCAATGTCCGCAAATAGAGAGTGAACCTCAAGATCACTAATTATACAGGTGGCTTTAGCTTGGCCCTAAGTTGTCTTCATAGTTTTTTTTTTTTTTTTTTTTTTTTTTTTTTTTTTGTTTTAACCCCTCCCTCTTATTATTGTCTATGCTTTAACACCTACCTAGATTCTCATCTATGAAACTTTTCATGCATGAATTCAAATAATCTTGTTTTTGTCTCTAGTAAGCATGTCCAATTTGAGATATAGGCTTCGTTTGGGACAGCTTTTTCATTGCTTTTCAAAACGGAGTTTTAGTACAACATTTTTTAATTTTGTACTAAAACTCCGTTTTAGAAAGCAATGAAAAAGCCGTCCCAAACGTAGCCATAGGCTTCATTTGGGACGGCTTTCTTATTGCTTCTTAAAGCAGTTTTTTAGTATGAATGTTTTAAGTTTTATACTTGAAAGATGCTTTAAGAAGCATGAAGAAAGCCGTCCCAAACGAAGCCATATTTTCTAAAAAATATTTGATCTTGCTTCTCTCAAACTAGATCTAAGAAAAATTCTAACTCAAAAGACCACACTTTTCTCTTGGCTTCACTTATCTTGATCAAATTCTAGTCTCAAGTAAGGCGTGGCTATATTGCATCTAGAACTCTTGGATCCAACAAAAGCATGAGCTAGCTCCTCAGTCTTAGGGTTAACATTCTTATCATTTAACCAATTTTAATTATTTTTAGTCATTTAATTTTAGTTTTGATTTTAAGAAAATCATTACATTTATCCTTGTATCCATATCATCATAGACCAGACGTTGAAGAATCTAAAAATTTTTGCATAGAGCATTAATTGTGTCAATGCCTAGACCCAAAGCCTACGCACTCACACCAAGCACCTAATCATTGGACTTAGCATCTATGCACCGATTTTGAAGTTTTGTGGAGTTATATCTCGGCTAAGTAGCAGAATGGGTGCCCACGCACTCAACATGGTGCTAGGCACCGTAATGATGATGTTTTCAAGAGTTGAAATTTATAATATTTTGGGGAGTCCATGTATGAAAATTTTGTAATATTATTATGATACAATTATAGCATCTTGGGGGATCTTTTTTGGTAGCAACGTGATGATAACCATAAAAAAATCAGAGCAAGAGCCTGTATAATTTAAGTTTTATCCTTCTTCTCTCCTTTGATGTTTTTTGCTTTCTACAATGTATTTTGTCCTTCTTTTTTCATAAGTAAAATCTAATTTTTGTGATTAGATGTAGCTTGATAATATGATGTTGGTTTATTTTTAATGTGATCAATTGCCTTTTGTTGCTTTTATTATTAATGCATATTTTTTATCTGTGTTTATTTACTTGTGATAGATTAGTCACCAATTGTGAGTTTTGGAGGCCTATTAAAAGTTAAGAGTGGAAGATAAACTCGCCTTGGTTGGATTATCTCAATGGATCATAAGGTAGAGATGTTTGTGTTAAAGATGTGTAATCATTTTGATCACTAAATCATATCAATGAAATTTATTATTATTATTTCAATGTTAGAGATGATCACAGGATGTAATGATAAATTATTAACCCAAGATTTTTAAGATAATGTTATGGGACATTCATGATCTACTTATGATAAACATGATTTAATTTATCATTGATTCATATTACAACTTAATCATCA